TTATTCTCTTTCGAATGTTGACATTCTTGTTAGATGATCAGATGAGAGGACGGAAAGTGATGCGATATTCAGCCCGTTAATTCGGCTAAACTCGTCTTGCCAATATTTTGTTAATAAGTTTGTAATTTTTGTACTTAATTAATTTATACACATTATTTATGTAAACGTGTAATTCGTGTTTAGCAACGCTAGGTGGGCCTTCCAATAATTTTAAGCGCATTCTCTCTCTTTCTCTCTTTCTTACTTGCAGTCAAAAAAATCTCCCATTAAAGAATAAACTTTCAAAGAAGATCCGCGCGAATAAGAATATAATATATGAGCACCAAAAAAAGCTATTTTAAGATAACATTAAAAGAGCTGTTGTTTTCACGCGCTTTTAAAAGAGCATAACTTTGCATATCCGCAACTGCATATCAAAGTGATAAAAAGTAAAGTTAAAGAGAGCGGTATATATTTAGATATTCTCTTCCATACTTTTCAAATCATCGCATTATTTATTAACTATAATATGTAAGACGTATCAGGCGCGTTGTACAAAAATAACGCTCCCGTTAAGGATAATAAATGAATTCCGTTTCTTACGCGCATCATTCTTAACGCGTCGTACATTTTATATGTTCATACATACGAAATATACAGTGTCTACATTTTTAGCATAATCGAAGTATTGGATGCAAAGACAAGTTATTCAATGAGTAAGTTGTATGCCTTTCTATCAGTTAGTATTGTTAGCAATGCACCAGTCGCATATGATAATTAACGAATAAAATGTATTTGAAGAGAAACACATAGAAAAGTGCATAAACTGTATACATTATTATACAGTATATATTATTTATTTTCATAACTGAAGGAAAACAAAATGTCTCGGATATTTGTTGCATTACTGATCTACGATTATCTAAATCTCTACTTTGATTGACTTTGTAATTAAACGCAGCTCAAGATGACATTAAAACTTATTACTATCGGACATATTCTCCTTGTCTTATAAATATAAAATGTAATCATGCGTGAAATATTTATAAAGTAACAGTATCGCGAAAATTCTAGATTCTTTTAAAAAATTTACTTATAGTAAAGTGGTTATCAATCACCGATCTTAATTTAATTTTAACGTGCTAAAGTCTTCCCGATGTCTTCTTCATGTACCTGTTTTTCATGTACATTCCTCTGAGGTATATTATAATTTTCAAGACATAATTTCTCAAATGTTTTTTAAAAGAGATGCATAACTGATTATAAAATACGTTTGATGTTAGATATATATTAATAACAAAGAAGAAATAACATAAAGGATAACAAGAGAATACGCCGATAGTAGTCCGTTTCGATTCAAAATCTTGTGTGTATATTTATATATGTCTGACTTATACTGTTATAGCTTGCGGAAAATATTTCTCGTTTCTCTGCAATATCCTTAAACGTTAAGAAGCTACTATTATTATTATTATTATTATTATAAGTAATCGAGTCTAGTCCATTTATTAAAAAAGCAAATTAGTAATGATATGTAATAATATGTATGCTTAAATTGTGATAATATTCTCGTCGAGAAGCTGATTTAACCGACAATCTTATCGATTATAAGTTCTTCTTGGTGCATTAACGTATAAATGTAACTATAAGAAAGGAGATAATGATATATTTCCGCGAGATATGCATTGACAGTCGCCTCTACGAACATTGAGTTATGATCGCGAGGATATTTTGACGATCTAAGCATTAATGTATATTCATTGTATATTTGAAGTAAGGTATCTTATATAATATAACGAGCATAAATTAAGATCATAGTCAATACAGATTCTCAATCAACTATTCATATAGACCGAGAACACGTACCTTATTTTCCAATTATTTACTCGCAGGAGTAAGATGCAATTAAAACTCGATTTGATTCAGCGTGCTGCATAGCAGAAATTACGCTGCTTCGAGTAATCTCGTCGAAGAAGCTCAGAAAAGCTCGCTTCTTCGAAAATTTTGAACGGATTCTGCGCGAGAGAAATAAGTAGAAAAATTAAAATTATTCCTTTTAAATATGAAACGTTACATAAAAAAATTATAAATTCATCGTTCGAGAGTATAGTTTTCTTTTTTTATCTTGCAGTAAAATTATTAATCTAAATAAGGAAAAATGTAACTCTATTTAATATCGAACTATAATTTCACAAAGGTTCAAGTTGAAAAGCAGAACTTCATAAAAATAACTTTATCTTAATGACGGTCTAGGTGACTAATTTGTTATATCAAGTCATTTGACTTAGAAATCTTCTCTACGTTTTTGTATTAAATATTTCAAGAGAATACTGAAATTATTTACTTTTATCTAAATGCTTTATTATGAAACTGAAGAATACGATTTTCGTTGTTACTTTCATCTAAATAAATATGAAAATTTAATATATATGTTTGAATAAAGAATATAATCTCTCGAACGGAGAAATATATAAACATCATATAAATTGTTTTGGACTCATCAACATAAGAATTACTATTTATTTAATAATTTTTGTAAACAGTGTTTTATTTTATATGTTTGAATGTATCGAAGTCGAGTAACAGTACCATGCCAAACCGAATTTTGAATCTTGATCACTCCATCCATTTTTCTCTGATATATTATATCCTATAGGATCTAGCTATTATTAACACCATTGCTAATAATAAGTTCTACAAATAAAATTTAAAAACTGTATCAAATGTTTATATATATGAAATAAATTATGATAATGCAATAAAATTAGTGTTTTATCAATTTCTGTGTCTCTGATACTTTAATTTATCAGTTTTTTCTTTTCCAAAACATTCCAAATCATTAGATTGCCCTGTTTGAAATTTTACAAATTTCTCTGCATTTCTGAATTTCCGATCTATATTCATTATTCTTTTTTCTCAGTATGTACTATCTACCATAAAAATACTGAACGGTTTATTTTGTACACCCCGTATATGCATCTCTACGAAATATCAGAATGAATACTAATAAATCATAAAATTAATACTATACATATATATCAGTTTCTTACTCTCAATCATTTAAATATTGTAAATTTTTATGCAAACTTCCATAAAATCAATGGTTTTTAGTATTTCGTCGGTAATAATGATTTCTGCTGGGTCAAATGACGCAGTTCATTGCCGATGTCGTGTATTCGTCGACACACCGTATAGATGTATATATCGAGTGTACATAAAATAAAGTTTGCGTAATTGTTTAAATTTAAGTGATTAAGAGTAAGACTAATAATATATAACACTAATTTTATGATTTATTAGTTTCATAGACATATATATATATTTAAACTTAAAAATATTCCATTTATATTTAAAACTGTATTTAATGTTATCCTCTAAGTTTGATTATCAATAGAGATAATTACTGTAGAGAAAAAAAATTGTAATTTTGAAGCAATATATAAGATATTACAGAGCAAGATATTACAAGTACGCATACTTTATGTAATATTTATATAATAAAAATTATGAACTTGATAATGTATTATCCAAATATGATAATAATCGCAAATTTATATCAATTGTCGATAATGTCATCGTTCTTCAATTACCTCCGGACCTTCGGAACCCTTTTAGGCCCGTTTTCACAATATATGGTTACCTAAAGATTAAAGGTTACCAACAGATTCATCAATGAAATTCATTCATGAATTTCTTGGTTACCTTTAACCTTTAGGTAACCATATATTGTGAAATCGGGCCTTAGTGGTCACGAAAATTTGCTCAGGATTATTAAACATTATCATCGTTAATTTAATGATCAATTTAATATTATTAAATTGTGCTTATCAATTTAATTTGTTTGATATTACGTACGTACTACTCTTATAGTTCTCAAAACTGAAAATTAAATTCGGTGCGCAGTTTGCAGGATTAAATATGATACATAAATCCCACAGAATTATTTAAACAAATTATGTAAACTTGACTTGATTAAAGCTTTCATTTCCTAATTATTGTCTATTCGCACGTTGCGATATTAAAAAATACTTTGTTTAATATTAAACAAAAAAATATTTTAAAACTTAATTGAAATTTTTATAATTTTCAGATTTGTAGTTTAAATAACGATCTGATTGATTTTTTACGGAATTATATTGATACAAATGGAGATCCGTCAAATCTGAAATTTTTTTGCGAACTTTACAAATTAAAGTTCCATGAGGTGAATTAAAAATCGTACATAAATGCAGTTTACAGCGAAAAATTTCTTTCGAGTAAAATAATCAAATTTTTGAATAAAACGAAACTTTTTATTCAACTTTGTCACTCAATCTATATAATATAAAACTTTATATAATCGTTTCGGATATATAAAGTTTTCGTCTTAAATTAATGCTAGGAATTATATCCTTTAAAATCTTTTAAAATACTTAATGACGACTCTGTATTTTATTGATATCTGTATAAATGCAAAATTTCAACAATCTGTTTAAGTGCGAAGTATTTAAATAACAAACACTCGGCAATTTTCTGGAGCACTAAAACGACTCGTGGTGATAATTTCCAATTCTGATTCCGATAAATAATAAATTATATCATCAATCGAAATTATATCTTCAGTTGAAATCGAAGAAATTAACAGAGGCCTCTCTTCGAAGGCATGCGAGGTATGTGCAGAACATTGATCGCTAGAAGAAAAATTTCAGGTATTCAGGTCTTATTGTTAGTGATGGACAGAAAGGATCGACCATGGAGTATGCGCGAATCGTCAGGTTGTTAAGAGAGAGTAGAGAGAAGGTCTCTCTCGAGTCTCCACACTATTCGCAGCGTATTTGCTCAGCGGCACTAGCAACGGTCGGACATAATTGTCGCACATGGACTCCGGACTTTGATCCTCACTGAAGCAGGCAAGTCATTGAAATAGGTGTTAAAAAGTCTGTTACATTTAAAGTGTTTCGAGCGATTGCTACACATATATACATACACATGCACACATTGCGGCGCGCGCACTCACGTGTGTGGGTGTGTGCATGCATATGCATGGCTAACATCGTGCGCGCGTGCCGCAATCGCTCTCGACGCTTCGCGCCAGGTCACTGACAGTTTTACGTAATCATTTGGTGCGTCCGAACGGCGAGCCGAATTTGCATGCGGCGCAACCGCGGACGCGAAAAGTTCGTGTTTTACCAACGTTTTATGTCATGAAATGTATTGCGCGCGAACCGCATCGACGTTACCGCACGTGTTCGGAGTAGGAAAAGTTTCGATATCACGCGAGGTGTGATATCAGCACGCGCGAAACGCGGAGCTGATATTAAAATTTGCTGTCACGTGGTTTACTTGTTGCTTGATACTACTTGATTACATGCGATAGAAATCTCTATGACGAGGAAAGAATGCACTTTAAGAATGAAGGAAGGAGAATCTTCCATGAGCTTATGACGAAATCAATAATTGAACAAGATAAATAGGCATCATTGCCGCTTGCATTCCGTTAGTTGCAAATCTGTTAACTGATAAAGTTAATTCTGTGTTGCTAGCTTGTTGAAGGTCGAGTAGATTGTAAGACAATAAAAGAGCATAAAAGCATTTTAAAATATTTTTGCGATAAACGAAAATGTATTAAATAATTGTGATAAATGAAAATGTATTTGTCGAAGGTAATCATAAATAGTGAGCTCTTTGGTGAGTGTTTTACCGAGTTTTTTGCTTGCCTTCATTGTAATATTTTATTTATTTATTTTATTTCCAATTAGTTTTTAACTTATTGTTGTTTTCATTAGAACACCCACAAGTAGATCCTAACAATCGGTGCAAGAATTTGTCGATTTTCTGCAAAGCCACATCTGTGCGAAGACCATTCATCTGGTCATCCTATCCACGTATATTGCTTTTCATATGCATTATTATATGCTTTCCTTAGGTAATAACTTTACTGCGTTTTATTCGATTATCTGAAGATGGCTCAATCAGGAAGCCGAAACATGTAATAATTATTGTGTATTTTCGAATCTATATAATGTAATATATTTTTATGTCTTGACTTTTTACACTCATGATTGTTTAAATTAACTCTTGTATGTCCTTTACTATCGTTATTCTTTTAAAATTAAGAGATCTAAATTTCTTGTTATATGAAAATGTATTTATGCAATTCGAACAAAATCAACTGCTATTACTCCAATGTCGGTACACGAATATGATTGATTTATTAAAGATATAACGAACGAAGTGAACCAACAAGTGCCTGAATTAAAGATATTTCTTTATTTCTGTTATATTACGTTTTCCTTCTTTTGTGTGCAGTATATACAAAATATAATGTATTAAATTAATATTCAGTTTAATATATGTATAACAACAAATCTGCCTGATTTATATCTATTTTTAATATATATCTTCTTTCTTTTAAGCAACACAACTACTAATTTTTTAGATAAAATGGCAGAAATGAAGACTTTAGGATGGGTCGATTATCTGGTTATAGCGATAATGCTGTGTATAAGTGCCGGAATTGGTGTCTATTACAGATTTAGTGGAGGACGTCAAAAAACTATGGAGGTAATTATTATTACTAGATTCTTCTTCTTTCTCGATAAAGGAAGCTGAACCTTTAACTTATACTTTTTAGGCACCATTAAAATAAAGTTTTTTTTTTCTTATATTTTTTTGCTGCAATGAAAAGTAATATGTTTCACAGGAGTACTTCGTTGCAAGTCGATCAATGAGCATTATACCTGTCGCTGTCGCCTTGGTGGTCTCTTTCATGTCTGCTGTTACGCTGCTTGGTGTGTCCGCTGAGAATTATACATATGGGACACAATTTGTTGTAATAAACCTATCGTATCTGTTGGGCACTCCGATTGTATGCTATGGATTCCTACCAGTATTCTTCAAATTGCAGGCGACGAGCGCCTACGAGGTGAGTCTAGTGAAATTTGATTTTGACGCTGGAAGTTTTCAATACAGTGTATATTTAAAAAAGAATATTCTTTTAGTACTTAGAAAAACGTTTCGGAGTAAGAGCTAGGATGATGGCTAGTTTTATTTATTGGATTCAACTGCTTTTATACTCAGGAGTGGTACTTTATGCTCCTTCATTAGCCTTAGAAGCGACAACAGGAATTTCAAAGACTGCCAGCATTGTTATCATTGGCCTCGTATGCGCCTTTTACTCAACAATAGGGGGCATTAAGGCTGTGCTAATTACTGACGTATTTCAAGGCTTACTCATGTTTGCCGCCGTGTTCTTAATTATTGGCACAGCTGCGAATGACGTCGGAGGATTGGGACAAATCTGGGAAATCGCGAGACAAGGACAACGACTTGAATTTGATAGGTATTTCAACTACTTTTTTATTTTATCTACATGAGCTGGGCTACTGGTGTACACTTAGACACTAACTGATATTTTATTTTTGTTACAGCATCGATCTGGATCCAACAGTAAGGCATACCTGGTGGTCTCTTACGCTAGGTGGTTTATGTACATTTTTATCACTTTATGGAGTAAATCAAGTACAAATACAGCGTATGTTGACTGTAAAGTAAGTTTCGTAATTTATGAATAACTCTGGATAAGATTAAAAATTATTAAATGTATTAGAACAGTTACTCAATGAAAAATGAATCATTGAATCGATGTCGGTTCGACATCGAATCCATGGTTATTTCTCACAGGGTACTGACGCTTTATTTATCATATCGTGAATAATGCCGAGTTAATCAAATAATTTTAATTTTTTCTTGTTAATGTTATGAAATATATACATTATTAAATACTATAAAATAATCTCCTCTTTTCAAATAACATTTATCGTTTAAAATATTGGAGAAAATTCCATTAAGATACATTTTGTTTTAGAAATATAAAAGCTTCGCAAAGAGCCATGTGGCTATCATGGCCTATTCTATCGCTTCTTTCGATTACAACTTGCTTTTCAGGATTGGCAATATATAGCAAATATCATAACTGTGATCCATTTCTCGAGAAAAATATTACTTCGCCTGATATGCTTATGCCACTGTACGTTATGGACACGGTGTCTAATATACCTGGTGTACCAGGCATCTTTGTTGCAGGTAATACTATTATCATAAATTGACTGGTTCCAGCTTAATATCTCATAGAAATTATATATAGAAATTACATATTATGAAAAAAAAATCTTAACATACTGATGTCTGAAATATGCTCTCAATAATTTTAAGACAATGTTTAGATAAAAGTGATCAGTGAATATGTTTACAATACTAATCTTAGACGACTCTCTTTTGTATAATTAAATCAATTTTAAAACAAAAGCGTGCAATGCATATTTATAATACTAATCTTGGCTAATACTGTCTATGTATTTCCAGGTATTTTTAGCGCAGGCCTCAGCACGATTTCTGCGGCGCAGAATTCTTTAGCGGCAGTAACATTGGAGGATTACATGAAACCTTTATACAAAAAATGGGTTGGACATGAATTTTCTCCTACAAAATCAGCTTCCATGGCTAAAGTGCTTGCTTTTACGTTCGGTATTATTTCAATTGCGCTAGCGTTTCTAGCGCAATTTTTAGGTGGACTACTTCAGGTAATGCTCATTATTATTCTTCGACGCATAAGATTGATGGTAATAAAATAAATTTTTATCGTAGGCTTCATTAACTATTTTTGGAGTAGTCGGGGGTCCTTTGTTGGGTGTTTTCACGCTTGGCATGGGTACGGAATCGGCGACAGAAAGCGGTGCAATAATCGGTGCTCTCACAGCATTCTCATTTTTATTCTGGATAGTCTTCGGTCAGCCACGTCCAATACCACCTAAATTGCCTACTACTATCGAAGGCTGTGGTAATAATATTGCAAATATAACAATGTCCGTTTTGCAGAACGTCACGCAGAGCTTCTCTAAGTAATTGAATTATCAAATAATAGCTACTGCACGGAAAAAAGGATTTTGCTGAAGAATATAAAAATTAGAATATTAAACCTGATGCACAAATCTGAAAATTATGTCGATTGATTGGAATAATTAGAACGTTTAAACTTGTTGCTACAGTGTCAAAGCTTTTTGTGGCATTAATCATTATGTTTAATTGTCTTTTATAAATTTGATGATGCAGCATAATATCCAGTAAGAAAATTGCTCTCATTACAACAACAGCTGCATTAGCAAATTAACTCAGATAGCAACAGATCCTGTGATCATCATCTACGTTTGCATTAAACTTGCATTTTGTTTGCCATTATAATCTATCAACAGAAACTAAACGAAATTTGTCATTTCGTAAACATTTGAATGAAATATTATTTAAATAATTATGGGAGTTTTGCTCAGATTCTGCTTCATTTCTGCAATAAATTTAACATTAAATTTTATTATATTTTTACGAATATTCTATTGACAAAATTTATTACAGATACTAGCAAAATCCCCACACAGCAAAAATATTCCGAATATATTATACAGATATCTTACAGATATTGTGATCTTTAGGCTGTCCCTATGATATAATTTGGACATTTCTGCTGTATGGATTTCTTCTTAACAAATTTTACTATACGATTTCAGATCTATATATGATTCGCTTTTTATACTCTTGAGCAAAACCGTTTTTTTTAAATGTATATGTACGTATGCGAGATCGTTTAACATACATTTGTCATATTTTTTTCCAGAAGCACCGGCGACAGTTCATACTTCTATTTGTATCGTATTTCGTACATGTGGTATTCACCTCTCGGATTCTTAATAACATTTATGCTTGGATTGGTCATTAGTAATCTATCTCGTTTGATCTTCAAGAAACAAAACGATGAATTAGACACTGATTTATTCTTTCCTGTGTTAGCACGGCGTATACGTTATAGGCGATGCATGGATGTAGAAAATGAAGGAAATTCTTCATTAAGCAGAAATTATTCTCTTAACGATATAATTCATGGGAAAGATGATGCCGCTGATAAAATATGTACAAAACTTTAATAGTTTAATTGTAATTTTAGCTAGGTGTTATGAATACTTTGTACTTACAATCGAAAAAATTGATGTTTAAGTCACAAGAGAGGGAAGGAAGAAAATATTTTTATCTTGTGGGACCTAAATGATAATTCCAACAATTTTAGGAAAATGTTTAGCCTATATTAATTATCTATGATACTTAAGGATGAGAATAGAAAACTTGTTGTAGGTAATTGTGGGAATAACTTATATGCAGTTTATTTTCTTTAGACAACTTTATTTTAGGTAATTGTATATATGTTGAATTGCAACGTGAACGTTACGTCTTTCATGCTGTATTCTCGTGGCACTGCCAGTGAGTGCTGTGTAGAAATTTCTAAAAGAATATACATGTTTTACACAAAAATTTTGCAGTAAGACATATTTTTTGAACGCGATAACTTTAGTTCCTTTATAATTTTTGTAGATGTATTTAAAGGGAATCTACCTCTTAAGCAGTCTTGACAATATTTAGCGACGTAAGATAATAGAAAAAAATAGCTTTAAGGCATTACGCTTATATCATCTACCGCGGCTGTAATGTGTAATTTTCTAGCGATAAGGAAAAATAACTTAGTTATTATGTATAATTATACCAATATTATGCATGGTTGTTTAACCGGCCAATAATAGTCATCTGTGGCATTCGTATACTCATCCAGGTGCGCGAAAATGTGAATTGTTATAAAATGTATATTGTTTTCTTTCTTTTTTTAATAATTATTTGTGATCTATGGAGAAGGAGGTTAATCACTTGGCTACGCAGCGAAAAGACAAAAATTGGGCAATTCCCAATTAGACAGTAAGGAGAGACTCTCTCTCTCTCTCATCCTCGGTCTCACATAGAACATAATTTCAACATTTTCCAATTATTGTCAATACATCTACGAATTTGCTAAAGATGGTTTGAAAAAAATCAAAACGCCCAAATAAATTAATATCGACAGTCACTGTACAATTTTAATATATATATATTATGTGAATATTTTTAAACTATTGTATAAATTGCGCACCAATTACCGCGCTGTGTTAACGCTCTCATTATTCGTATATTATATATATTATTGTTTTTTAATAACTATTCTTTACAACTATTCATTGCAAGTTCTTAAATTTTGACTCAAGAATGTACATTTAAATAATATTATAGCCGTATCTTACTTTAAATAATTTTTAGTATTTAGTGTAAAATTTTGTAAGCGTGTAATAATATTATTAATATTTAAGAAATCAACAAATCATATTTCAGAGCATATATTAAGAGTTCAATATTTATCTAAATAAATAGTTTTTCTTGTGTTAAAAATACAATTGTGTTTTGTGACTATTGTTTGCCAGTGTCAACTTAGATGATAAAATTGCAGTTTTATATTAAGCTCGACTGAAACGCGTAAATGACTTTTATAATTTCTGCTGAAAAACTTTTCAAATATCTTATTAAAAAATGTTCTTCAGAATATTTTATATTTTAAATTTATAAAAAAATACCTTTATATTTTATGAAAAAAAGTTTATGAAGAAATTTCTAAACAAAGTTCTTCAATTTCTTCAGATTTTAGAAGTTTTGTTAAAAAATTATAGAATAAGATGTTTTAGAATATTTCAAATTCACATACGTTTTACAAAGTATACTCTAGAAAAAAAAATAAAGATTACTTCCTCAGCATTTTAAAAGAATATATATAAAAAAGATTAGAAATTTTCTAAACAGTTATACAATTATATATTAATTCTAAAAAATTCTAAGTAACATGGATACTCTAAAAATTATATAAAAAATTTTACGAAAGATTATTACCAAGGATTATTTTACATTAATTACTAGGATACATTAATTCAGGGGGGTGCCCGAGAAGAGGGGTACCTGAGAAGAATGCCATACGGTGATGCCAGGGCATCCCCCGCTAAGGTCGGAGAAGGACACAGAGGAAGTTTTAGTGGGTAGGTGACCCGTGGAGGTAAAACTCATTTATGGGTGTACGTAGATTGAATCCCACACTCTCGGTTAGGTCTACCGGGGAGTCTTTGAAAATTTCTTCCTCTTAAAAAAAAAAAAACAAAAAAAAGGATACATTAATTCAAATTTTTAGCAATTAATAAGAAATAGTCAATATTGACATAATAATTACAACAATAACAGCGAAGTGCTAAACATCTGAAGGAATTCAAAAAACACGAGAAACGCCACTCTTATAAAATTAGATGTTAAATATATATGTATATATATATGTTTAAATAAATTTACCTTGGATATGACTGCGCACTGATTACTTTCAACACAATCAATCTGAAATATTAATAATCCCCCAAATTTAATCTTAAAACCTGTAAAAGAACTTATTGTGAAAAATATCACCTCGTACATGATATTAATTGTAATAAAACTTCTTCAGTGCGTCACACATTGTAGTTACATATAATATGACAAAATACGTAAAAATAGTCCTTTCTTGCAAATTGAATTACAAATTTCTCAAAATTGTAACGTGATAGAACAAGTTGAAAAATGCATTCGGTCATTCAGCATCCAAAAAATTATTAAAAATGACTAGTCTTGTTCTGTTAAAAAGTAATTGTTAGCAAAAAGTAATTTTTTGTGTAACAGTGTAATCTTTCTCATTATTTATTATATTAAAAATGCACTATGTTTTGTGATTTTTTACACTATCCATTTAGATAAATTGCGGTTTTACATTAAAATCAAATAAAACGGAGAAACAATTGTGAAATTTCTGATAAAAAATCTCCTGGCATCTTATAATATTTTTATGACTATATATTTTAAATTCTGAAAATTTATGAAAAAAATTACTTAAACTCCTACAGATTCTGTAAGTTTTCTTCGGAAGTTATAAAATAAAAAATCTTAGAATATATTTCAGAATTCACATTTACAAATTATTCTAAGAATAAATCCAGACTTTCGATATTTCATATTAAAAAAGTGTCTACCAACACTCAAAAAAGTGATCTTGCAGTTACAGCGAAAATTATCTAATGAAAAATAGCTGGAATAGATAAATTTCTAGCAGGTACTGCGATATTGGATATGTATTGCATCTAATCATATAGATGACAGAGATAGAATTTAGATTTGTGCTATAAATTCTATGCGTATGATACATAATTTTCTATTATACAAAAAACAGCTATAATTCTAACTGGAGCAGCAAAATATCTTTTTGCTGCTCTTTACATATTTAATTATTAGGAAACATCAATTTATGATTGTTAGTTTTTTTTAACAATAATAGAGATCGTCTATATATAAGTGATACATAATAATTACAAAGTTTAATGGCAAACTCCTTCAGATTTATATAAGTTACTTTTACATTATTCTATGCGTTAGACATAAGTTTCAACAAGTATCGGTAATGTTAATTCAATCTAATTATAATTCCATCATTAGACGAGCAAAATAGTTAATAATTTCAGAATGTGTAATGAAAATGAAAAACGCTTCCTGTTTTCCATGTCTTATTTTCATGTCGCGGCTTTGCTGCTCAGCTTTATCTACAATACGCAACTATCAACTTCCTCTGAAATCTTCACAATATCCAGGCGGCAAAAGAAAGGAAAAAGAAAAATTGCAGCCTTATATGCAAAATGATGGTACACCATCGCACGATGGTGGAGGGGAACAAACCAAGGTGACAGCGGAAAGCTTCTGGTTAGTTCGGATTGATATGCCAGATTGAACTAACGCCGGCCAGTTGAAACCAGTTTCAATTTATGCGACTCTGCCGGACCACCGATCGGGGCTCTCAATGGGTTCTTTTTAATTATTTTTCCACTGAACCTTGTCAGTTGGTAGGCGGAGGAGGAGCGAGAAAGAGAGACTATAAAACTACGCTCGATGTTTAAGTTTTCTTCCTGGACCGAATGACCGTTTGTTAATAACCAATTAAGTCATCAACGTAATGGCAACGGATGCTTCACCTTTGCCAGTAGTGTCAAACATTTCGATGATCTTCCTTCGTACAATGATTGATTCTTTGACGTGTGCTGCTGACGCTCTTTCGTAGTCGTTCAATTAGACAATCTTCGCATTAATTTTTGTTAATTATAAAATTATCAAAAAGAGACAAAAAAATTATAGCTCTCACCGTTACACAGTAACGGCTGAAGACCGGCATTATACGTTATGCCAAAATTATGAAACTTAAAAATTAACCTTTCTGTAGATATGAAAATGTCTATGAAAAGATTTTTGAAATCACTAATTTCAAATATGACATTATAAATAAACTGGAAAAATTAATTTTGCAATAATTGTTATAAACAAATTATTAAATATTTACTACAGAGGAAAATTGATTACACCAACTGTGTGTGATTTTGTAAGAAAAATTATTTAAAAGAAACACAACTTTTTCCAATTGTTATTTTTTTGTTAACCTTATTTGTTCAGATCACGAGCTGCAACAAATTTTAATAACCTAAGATTTTTGTTTTATTTTTTGCATTATTGGAAAATGATAAGAGAAAAATTATACTATGTGTTCCTTTTGTAACTTTTCCTGCAGAAATGGTTAGCGTAATCAATTTCTCTCTATAATCGATATTTAATGATTTGTAATAATGTTGCAAAATTGATTTATGTAATGTCCTTTTTATGTTACAAATGTTTTTCATGCTCCTATTATCAACTATTACTTTTTTGCTAATTTTGCTAATTTAGTCAATATATTATGCCTTAATGAATTCAAAAAATAAAATTGATCATTTTATTTTAACACCTTCATCCAAGATATAATTTTTTAAATTAAAACATATTTTTCTTCAAATCATATAAAATATTTAAAAAAATCAAATCTCAAGATATTCATTTTCTTGAGATACTCAAGTGCATTTATTAAGACATTTCGTTTTTAATAAAGAATTTTATTATTATAATAATAAGCAAGAAATAACAAAAATTGAGAAATCAGTTTTAAAGCAAACATATAAAATGTATCATCTTTTTCCAGAATAACTATGAAGCCTTGTGGAGCCCAAAGTAAATAGACGATCATATAAAAGCAAAAACCAATATATTACCTATATCAATAATAAATGTGAATTAATATAAATTAATAT